GCTGTGAAGCCGGGGGGTCTGCGGGTAAACGAGGCCTTCTCGGGTGGGCCTTCCCCGGTGTGGGGCCTTTTCCGTGTGCACGCCTGGCCACGCAGCGTCTGTCCCGGTCTGGCAGGCGGGCATGGCTGTCTCCTGCCTCTCGTAACGCAGGGTTTAAAATATAAATCTATTTATCTTCAACTTCGCTCGGCCTTCCAGTCAGGCCTGCAGCTTTGTGGGCTGCTCCCTGGCAACTTGGCCGGCAAGAGGGGATTTCAGAGCGGTGTCACCAAATACCGAGAGGCCTCGGGGAGGGGATGTTGTAAACTGCGGTGCCGGAGGGTTTGGTCCAGGAAAGCAACTTCATGTTTGCAGCATAAGTCTCACCCCAGCTTGGAGCCGACTTCTGGGCACCATTTGGGAGCCTCTTTCTTTCCACCTGGTTTCTCTGCAGTTAGGTTACTTATCATGAATTAAAAATGGTAAGACTTCTTCCCCCACCACACACACACGTCGAAATTAAAATATTAATGTTGTGTGCCTTAGCTTTGGGGGCCTTCAATCTTAAAGTTGGGGGGGTTGTTGTTTTTATTTATTGTGTCCATTTTTTTGTCTGTTTACATTGATGGCTAATAGAATACCCAACCGGAATGACAGTGTTAACCGCCTTTCCCAACTCATAAATGCAAGGGCTGTTGGTAACATCATGACATGCCCGTTGCCCTTGGAATTGTGAATCTCATGTCAAGACCAATGTGAAATTAGTCTCCGCTTACTGGCTAATGGATTCTGCTTCACGTCGTGTATTACAACACCTAATTCAGTAGAGTACATTCTCCTGTGATTGATGGGTCTTTATTGCTGGAAAACAACCAGAAAAAGTTGAGTTGCCATTATTTTTTTTTTAAATGTTAGTATCCATTAAATTTTTATAACTGAATATGAAGGGCCCTTTGTGGCTTCTTGCTTGTGGTGTTTTATTTAACCATTTTTTCCCCATATATTTATATGGGACTATATTTCAGGCACTGGTTGAAAGAAGTTAGCTAACTTCCGTTCAATCTTTGACATAAAGTGTACTCTGATACAGTAAGATGGTGGAATGTTTATCCCAATTAACAAATGCTGCTAATGAAAGACTAAAACTCATGCACATGGGAATGGAACGCATCTTGCCTCGCTCTCAAAAAGGAGTAGATGTTGAGCTTAGTTAGCCAGGGGCACGTGACTCCCATAACCTGGATTGCAGTGTCATTATTTTTTCTGATTTTTATATAATACTCTCTTTTAAAGTGAAATTTCTGCTCCTGCTTTTTGCCAGGTTATTAACCCCCTGGAGATTTCAAAAGCCAGTTTTTAGTGCTTTTTTTTTTTTTTTTTCCTTGGAAGGCTGTGGAGAACCAGCCTGTGAATGTGGTGCCATGACATTTGCAGGTTTACAGTCCGGGCAGTAGTAACCAGCTTTGAAGAGATGAGTAGGTTTTGAAAAGGTCATACACACATCTTGTATTTAGCACTTCCCTTCTGCGGATCTTCTTGTTTACAAATGTTTTAATTAATCCTTTAGCAGGTGCTTCATCAGGTACTGATAAGATGTATTATCACAATTCAGCGGGCAGGTAAAGTGGCACCCAAAGGTGACATGTGGTCAGTGGTAGTGTTGTGAAGACCATTTGTGCTAAGCACTGGACCACGTGTGCTCACCTCTGGATGTCGAAGGATGGCTCCTGCTTTTAGATCTTGTACCATTTGATCCAGGTCGCATTGCATGGAGAAACTAATCCAAATAACCACTCAGTTTACTGACTGACATACTCTGTGTCTGCCACAATGGGTATATTTTTAATTCATCCATGTGTGCTTCCATTTTAGATAAATGTGATCACATATTTTTTTATCTGGTTATTCCCATAGTAATCTTTAGAAACATAATCTTTAAAATATAATGTGAAATGATTATTTAATTGAGTGCTTGTAGCAGAATTTTTCCTGTTGAGATTTCTGACTGGCTAAACAATTTCATTGAGCAGTATGGTTTTCCACATGATAGATTCCCTTATTTTCCTCAAGAAGATACTGTAATTTTAATTGGAAAGCTTTGACATATTTTGGATTGACTCAGAAAACAAAAGTCAATTTTTCTTTCATTAAAGACCTTGTACAAATGGATGCAAATAGAAATATAAATGGAATATGGGATGCTAGCACTATATTGGCTTTTACTTCAGGGTTTGGTTTGTTTTGCTTGGGCATTTTTTAAAGACTGAAAAGGTGTGGGGGGGTTGTATATAATGTATATTACACATATATTACCTATGTGTTTTAAATAAGCTCAGTAATGCAGGATTTTTGTGGGAGTGAAGTGTTTTGTGATGCCTTCTTGGGCTTTATCCCCAACCAAGCCCATTTAACTAGAACCTAAAAAATGTCTCTACTAGTGTTCAAGGGACAGATGAGCCCCACTGGCACGTTTTCTGTCAGCCTGCAAGCTTATCTAAAGACAAAATTGATGTTGCATTAAATGAGAGGGGTAAAATTAGTTGATATTAAATTCTTTGGCAGTGTTGCACATACAGGTATGCTTTGATAGCCACAGAGCAATTTTTGTACAGGAGCATGTCTGAACTGTACTGGTAGACTGGCCTCTAGCTGGGAATTGCATTGGTTAAATGTACACCTCTGGCAGATACAGTTATTCAAACACTTGCTGTAGACCATGAGGGAGGTCTCAGCTCCTAGGGATGCAAGAATATAAGGATTACTGCTGTAAAGTCATGAAGAGGTCTTTTTTTTCCAACATCATTGGTTAACATTGTTGATACTTAAATTGCCACTCAATTCAGGCACCTGACTTGAGACAAATGGAAAGAAAAGAGATGCTTCACATATATCAGGTCTGTAGTTTTGCACTGTCAGCGATTTCTCATAGGCCATGACAGATGTGCTCTTTTACTCCCAGCTGTGCGAGAGGTTACTGTTCCTGTCTGCCTGTTCCCATCCTCTGCCAAAGGTTATCTCTGAGGAAGCAATTTACAAGAATGTTCTTGTATTAGGCAAAATTAGCAGCCTTACGTAAACTACATTGTTGGTCTCAACTAACGTGGCAGACTGTTCCTGCACTGAGTTAACAGGTGCGTACACATACTGCTTGACTGGTACTTTGGTGGCTCATCGATTGGGAAGTAAGAGCTGGTAACGTCTTCCTTTAGCACAGCTGGATACAGAAGACTGCTTTTTGTAGCCTCAGTTACTTTTTTCCACTTCCAAAGGCAGGTTCCAGCCTTCAGAGCTACAAACACAAGCCAGTTCATTAAATGAAATCTGAGGAAAGAAGAGGGTGGTTGAAAGTTTAGATGTTTCAAACAATGGCCAACCTGCTACGACTTAGCTGTAGCTCTGAGCTCCAGTGCTGTTTGTATGGGTGATGTTGCATTATTGATATGCAGCAATAATTTCAACACCATTACGTTCTCTCCGGCCTTTGCTGAAACATTAGAAAAATCTTAGTAAAGTTACGGCGTTATAACAACTGGGATCCATCAAAACCAACCAGGAAAGGTCTGATTCTTTGTGTGAAGTACAGATGTGACTGACTGTTGACTTCCAGTAGGTGGTTATGATCAGCAGTTGTTTACTTTTGCATTGCCTGGTTGCCCAAACTTACAGTAGAGCCATAGAAAAATCACAAAAAGCATTTACTTTTTATATCAACTGTTAAATATTATGTAATGGATAATTGTTGTCATGTAATTATTGCATGTTCAGCGCATACTAATGATGCAAAGACCTGAAGCTGTGTGTTCATGTGTCTTTCTTTTTAGTTCATGCAAAGGGGTTTGGATTCACAAACTAAAAAACTACTAGAAGAGGAAGAAAAGAAGATAATTAGTGAAGAACACTGGTATCTTGATTTACCAGATCTAAAGGAGAAAGAGTAAGCTTGTACCCTTTTGTACTTCTTATCATCATTGGATTGGTGTGGGGTGGGAATAGAATATACATATTTTTTTTCTATAAAAGAAGTATTATTAATAACTAATTAACAAGCAAAAATAGTGACAGGCTGGCATTTCAGCTTATTTATTTATTTATTTTCAGGGACGTTCTCAAGGTTTCCTAGTTCAGTTTGACCTACTTTCGTTCCTTGTGTGTGTTGTTTTCTTTCACTCGCACATCCTTCTAGATGCATGTAATTAGTTTCTTTCAGGCAGGGACCAATCCATTCATTGCTGCCTTTCCTCTTCATTTGAAAAAAGAAGTTTGAAACTTTGTGTTAGTAAATTCAGCTCCAGTCACACAGTTAGGTCCATTCAGGACAGTGCTGTCTTGAGTCCAGCTCACTTCAAATCCTGTTTTTGAAATAGGAGAGATAATGGCAAAAATAAAGGAAAGCTTAGCTAATAAGGAAGAAAATGTCCATTCCT